CGCAAACAAAAAAACACACAATAAAAAACCCAGAAGAAAAAAAAAAAAAGACCCCCAAACAAATAACAAAAAAAAAACAACAAACCCCAAAACCTACTTCTGAAGATTTTAGGAAGAATCCTGCCAATGAAACAGAATATGCAAACAACCATACTGGCTGTAAGATGCTACCATCTTTGAATATATGTCACAATTTTCAGATAACTCGTATTGCTGCCTTCTTTTAAAAGAAGAAAAATAATTCTAAAAAATGCAGCTCGTGTTGCAAGAGAGCTCCAAACATTAATATCAGCCAGCTTCTTGCATCTAAGTCCCAGTGGATTTTTCCACTTCTGGCATTCTTAAGTAATAGCAAACATTTTATATGACAAGGTGATTGCTAATAAAGATTGAGGGGTATTTTTTCTGATTAAAAGACTTTTTGCAGATTGGCTGGATGATTGTTTGCTTTAATTATGAATGAGAAAAACCACTGAACCCTGTAATTTTGGCTAAGGTATTTCTGTGTGTCTGACATTGATTGGTATTGCTTCTGAAGCTTGTGATGGGACCTTTAACCCAATGTGCCAAGCCATAACAGTGGGACTGCCCCACCAGTCCTGAAGCTGGACTCTCTGTTCCAGGCCTTTGAGTAAGAACAGAGGTCTCACATTCAGTTCCTTTTCCTGCCTGAAAGACACTGAACCATAATAAAGATCTCTAGCTAATACCAAAAATACCATGGATGACAGTATGTATTTACATAAGGAGAAAATAAAAATAGATACAGATTTATCATAATAATGTTTCCAAAGAATTTTAGAATGGTGAAAAGAGGTCAGAGATTTTTTTTTTCCTACGGAATATGAAATAGGGCACCAATTAGGCATTAGGCTTAAGAATCCATGATCACATCTGAGCCAATTTTGTCAGTCTGTATTAAGTCTTATTTTTCTTTCATCAGAGACTTTGAAAGCATTACTTGAAATTAATGTAGAACAAGAAAACCATGCTTCATCAGATTTTCTGTATCTGTTAAAGTAGCTTCAGGGCATTTTTTAGTATTTACCAAATACTTAGTTTTAGTGACAACTCTTGCCTTTCTTTCCCCCTCTTGTCTTGAAATAGTTCAGCAACAGCTCTTACCCATTAAGTTAAAGTATTTCCTTCACCAGGAAAGCATCAAGGTGGTTTGTTTGTGGTTTTATTTCATATCAGTGCAATAACCTGGAAGGTTTTGTCTTCTTCCTTTTGATGTCTTTGTTTAGTCTGAGGTTCAAGAGTGGAAGCCTGTTGTCATTATAAAGTTCAGGATAGTTATTTCCACAACAGGTTCTACTAGTTTTATTTAAATAAAACAAAAAGCACTTCATTAACTTACTGAAAGGTGATGCTTTTTACTAGTTGTCATTCTTTGTTGCATCATTTCCTACACAGCTATAAACTTGGCAGATTGCTTATTTATAGTGAACAAAATGTTTTTATTGAGCTTTACCAATTCAGTCCAGGTGGTTTTGAATTTGCCTATTAGTAATTGAAATTAATTTCCCAATCACTTGACTTTATTTGGTCTCAAGAATTATTCTTCAGTTTTGGTAACTCCAAATAATGTTTCTAAAACAATTAAAATAACCCACAGTAAAACTACCAAACATTTCAACAACAGATTTATACAACATTAGCAGTATTAGAAAAAGAAGTTAGATACCTTGTTCATGGCCAGTCCTTTGGGTAGAGTTGTCTCATTCTTTGCTCCAAGAAAACACAGTTTATGGGTTTTCTGAGTTTCCGTGTTCTATATCCAGGTACTGAATGCAATATACTCACCTACTACAAAGAGCCATGCTAATGGAAAGCACTCTTACAGCCATTCTAGGAGCACTGAACATCTGGGAAGAGAACAGGGAAACAGGAGATACAGTACTCACAATCCTGACTGCTCAAAAGACCTGCCACGGAAGTGTGAACTGAGCTGGAGATCACTTCCAGGGAGCAGCCCAATTCATTTGTATGTGTGTATTCCATAACCTACAGATGACTCGATTGTGTTAAGAAAAATAGCTCCTAGAATGTGAAAACTTTAGGGGAAAAAACTCAGAATGGCTACAATTATTCTGATCCATACTGCTTATAAAACTAGCAAGAGATCATAGTATCAAGTAAAATCAATAAATAATTCAGCATTGAGTATGAAGTAATTTATTATGTAAACTAATTGTCCTGCTTCTAAGAAAAGATGATACTTCCTTCCAGCAAAAGCCAAAAAAATCTCATAATTGGGAGAATAATCAATTTCAAAAGAAAGAAGAAAGTTTGAATTCAACTGGAATTTCAAGATTTGTCTTCTAAACAAATCTCTTGGCAAAATGACATAAAATCTTCCATTATTACTGTAGTTCCACAGAAACTGGTGCGTCTTCAAACCTGAAACTGGGGTTTTACACAGGACAGTCTTGTTCCTGTTTGAGGATGGCCAGGAACATCCCTTGGTAACCAGCCAGTCAGGTCTGGCCATGTGACAGGACAGGAAGGACCGTGGTGTGACTGGGACTGTGTGGTCTGCAGGACTGAAGGTGTCAGTGCCACGCTCCCAGCTCTGCCCAAGTGCTCTTCCCCTAACTGCCCAGCACCAGCTCAGGGCTGGAAGCAGAGTGACAAGCCTGGATGGTGCTGTGCCTCAGTTAAAAAGCCCTGCCAGCTTTAATTGGCCTGTTTGGAGACAAGGCAGCTGTTGTGCATCCTTAGCCTAATTTATTTCCAAATTTGATAATCCACTCAGTATAAATGGAGAGCTGACTGTAATTATTTTTTTCTGGTTAGACTAGTTAAAGAGTAAGTCATACTGCATTGTGCTCTCTTTCTTGTATGTTCCATTATAACTTTAAAGAACTTATTGCATTATGCTTCCTTTTTGGCTTCCTACCTTATACTTTACAAGAAATTTCTGAGCAGTGGTGTGTTAGTCACATGTTTGCTAAGTCAGCTGAGTATATTTAGACTTTTAACAAAATGTCTCATATTCTTTTTTGTGCTCAGTAACAAATCTTTGAGATACAGATGACTTTTAGACATGTAATAATTTACTGTAAGTTGTGCAACTTTTATATATATATATAAATATAGGGGGTATGTTATATGATAGTAGCAATAAATTGCTTCAGATGAATACAAGTGAAAGATGTGAAAAAGACTCTTAGTACTTTCACTACCAGAAGCATCCCAAAACATTTTTTTAAATAGTATCTGAATAAATTACTGGTTAAATTAATACTAGGGCGTCTGATGTACTGGACATGTCTTGGACACATAAGAAATGAGTATCATGTGATTTTGTGCATGACCCATAACATAATACTGGGCTGAAATAAAATTCCACTGAAATTATTAATTGCTATGTGACCAAGATGTCGTGTTCTTTGTTTTAACATAAAACACATGGCTTTGTTTATTTCCATTAAACACGTTAGTAATATGCCGAAATGGATATGCACAGATGGGCTGGCTGGTGGGATGGATCTAATTAAAACCTCATTGAAGGTGAAGAGTATAACTGCCATCTTTAATTTCATGTAATTTAAAGACAATTAAGTCCCCTCCTGTAAATAAGCACAGCAGCAACCTCCACCCAGATCCAGAATAAAAATATGGTTTCAGAGGCTGGAGTCACTGATGGAAGCACCAGCACTTCCTCCACGCCCGCCTCTGCCCTATGCTGTGTGGGCTCAGTGTTTAGTGTGGCCATGGCTTTTTGTTTTGGGGACTATGTGATGGAAGGCGCCTGATTTAACAGTTTGCATTTGCTTTGCAAGAAACAGAAACAATGAGAGAGTGGGTAGTTTGTTGGAGAATTAGTGGAATATTTTAAGCTAAAATTTTTATATTTTTGTGGTACAAACGTTAATACACAGGCTCTTTCCTCCTTCTAGCTGTGTTTTTTGTGATGTGTGTTGTTCCCTAACCTGCTCTAGGTGATGGTCCAATGGAATTCAGGGCTGTCTGAGGAATGGTGAAAAATCTTTGTATGAAATACAAGAAGCGACAGAAAGAATAATACAGGTACTTCATCAAAGAAATGCATATCTGGTATGATTCTGTACATTAATATGAGACCTCTAATGCCTGACATAGGATTATGAAGTGCCAATAAATAACCTGTTAGGCATAAAGGTTACCAAAAGTCAGAAAATCACATTCAAATGCAGGCTGGATCCACAGAAAAGACTGTCAATTTAGTATCAGAGGGAACCTGCTCTTTTAGTCTTTGCAACATCAATACAAATATTACAAGCAAATGCATTTAATGTCACTGTGTCTAAAGCCAACTCTTAGTCTAATTTCTTTATCATGAGATCACATGAACCAATCAGGCCCTGCACTTTTGTGTTTCTTTCTGAACAACACAACTGAGAAATTAGCGTGGTCTTAATTCTGATCACTCCCTTTGATTCACTTTTGTTCATCTTTCCATGGCTGGTTAGGCTAAAAAGCTGAATTATGATGTCTTAACATTTATATATAGCAGAACATACCTTAAGGCCTATTAGAAGTCCATGAAAGTTTGCCAGCATGATTATATCCTTTTTGGTCTTGCTGTTTTCAGTTTGGACTCTTTTTGTTCTCCATGCACAGCATAGCACAGAGGGGTCTGGGTACATAACTGAGGCTGCTGCAGACCACAGAAACCCCGAACAGCTCTGCTGCCAGCTTCCCCCTGAGCAGAGGCAGTGCTGCCCAGGGCAAAGGCAGAGCAGGATGTGGTGGTGCAATAGGATGTCATTTTGTATTTTTAGAGAAACGGCAAAAAACCCCAGAGGATGATACAGAAAGCATTAAGGAAACTCTAGGCAGCACCCAGATGGGCACAGATACCACAATCTGTTTGTTTCCTGCTGGGCAATGACTCCTCCCAGTAGGCTGCCTAGACAACATCAGGAGCACAAGTGCACGAACAAGTGCAGTCATACAAGGAAAATGCAGTGCTGCATTGCTGCCCGGGCAGCAGGTCTGTGCACCCCCAGTCCAGCTCAGCAGGAACCCTCTCGCCCTGGAGCTCTGTGCTCCTCCACACCGCTCAGATGCTTCAGTGTCGCAAGATCAGATGTTTCCAATTTTTCTTCCTGCGGCGGCTGCTTAGAAGTTCTTCTGCTGTCTGGAGAAAGCCAAATACTGGGAACCCTTTCCTGTCATATGACTGGACCTTCTGCTGCAAATGAAGGGCTTGCCAGAAAGCTGGAATTCTGCAGCATGTGCACTGAGGCGTTCCCTCCAGCATTGCTGCTGGAGGCAGGGCTGTCGGTGTGGTGAGCTGGCGACTTGCTTTAGTAGGGGGCAGTGAGGAGTGTGAGGAAAGCAGAGTTGAATCATTATAGGAGAGATTGCAAGCCACATATTGCCTTTTGTAGCTTTGTAGCTCTTGGAGTGTCTTTTCAGAGGTGTGCTGCCTTTACAGCATGGGTGAGGGAGCACAGCCCCTAGGAGGCTGACAGCAGGGTCTGACTGCTGCTGTGAGCAAGATAATTCTTCCAGTTGGCAAAGCTCTCTCTGTATTTTCCTAGGATAAAGGTCACTTGAGCAAGGTACAAGCAAGGTGAACTATCTCACCAGGCTGTGGGTAGCTTTTGGGCTATAAACTGCCTGCCATATGTGACTGAACTTGTGCAGAATTTGCCTTGCAGCCAAGAATCTGCCCCACCCTTTTTCTTTCCATCATGTGATTTTCCATGCAGGCAGGTGGTTTGTACCCCTGCAGCAATGCCATATGTTACCTGTGCACTTGACAGCCCAGCTCTAGTCCTGCAAACGTAGAAACTTGTGTTTAGCCCGTCAGACTCCTGAAGATTAATCAGGCACATGAATGTTGGCTGGATAAGTAAATAGTTTCCCAGTTCTTTCAAATTCATTTATGGTAACACATTGCTTTTCCTTGTTTTTCTTTCACATTTTAAAACCAGAACATTTAGTTCAAGGGTCACATACAGTCATTATCTTTAAATACTCTGTAAACGTAAGTCCTGACAAGATCCTAGGTCAGCAAGCATCTCTCAGTTGAAGCATAAAGCACGCAGACAGCATGTACTGCTGTCAGAGTCAACAGCACCTAGTAATGTGCATATTTTTTTTCTTATAAGGGACCAATGGTTTCTAATTAGGTTTTTTTCACCCTCTCAAATCACACTTCTATGAAATAGCAAAAAGGAAAAAGCCCCCTCCCCCCCCCCCAAAAAAAGAGCAGTATCATATCTGTTACTGTGAGAACATAAATAATAATGCAATGGAAAATGTTCTCATCAGTGTTTAAACTAACTTAAAAGCTTTGAAAGAAATCTGTGACAGAAGAGAAGTTGCCAGAGTTTTTTGTCCCTCCCCTGAACAGAACAGCTTGTGCAGTATTTCAGAAGTTCTGTTAGATTTGATTTACATTGCGTTGTAGCATTGCCAAATGGAGCAATGTTCAGTACTTTGAAAACTAAATCAAAAAAGAGTGCTCTGGTCATTGTTAGGTTTGAGTCCAGATCTCTTCTTGTTTTTGCTGTTGCACATCTGGACTGGTGCTGCCAGCACCTCTGGTTTCACCATGTTTCAGCCTTCTAGGGCAGGTTTGCTGTGAGGGGCTACCAGGCTGTCAGCTCCCCATCAGACCTTCCCCAAGTGACATGTGCTTCTTATTATGAAATGGGAGGGATTTGGGATTGCATGGAAAATGACTGGCCCCTCTCATTCTGGAGGAAAGAGAAAAGCAAGTCCTTGA